ACTGGGTCATCTACATCAGTAGTTCTCAACCTGCCGGCCACGACCTTTTTTTTTTCACAGGAGTCGCCTAAGACCATCTGAAAACACATATTTATTGAAGTTTTAAAGGAAAATAATTGTTTGGGGGTCGCCACAACATAAAAGAACTCCATTAAAGAGACGCTGAATTAGGAAGGTTGAAAGCCACTGATCTACGTAATCGGTTACCTATCCAGGATATACATAAATAGAGGGGGGACCTTTGCGGCCGTAGTAGAGTCTGTACACATATAGCTATATTGAGGTTGATGATCATGTTCTGATTCTGTTGTAGAGAGATTATATATATATATATATATATATATATATATATATATATATATATATATATATATATATATATATATATATCGGTTAGAGCTGCTCCCTCGTGCACAGCATGCTGCTGTTGAGCAGTGGTTTTCAACCTTCCTTTAATACAGTTCCTCATGTAGTGGTGCCCCCTAACCGTTAAATAATTTTTGTTGCTACTTCATAACTTCAGTAAATGTGTATTTTCCGATGGTCTTAGACTACCCCATGTGAAATCGTCGTTCAACCTCCCCTTCCCCCAGGAGTTGTGACCGACAGGTTGAGAACCGCTGCTATGTGGAGTGGTGTTCCCTTGGCTCCATCCCGATAAGCAATCAGCGAACGCTGATTGTAATTATGGTAACGGGTGTAGTGAATCTCCTCATTACAACGCAGACCAGATTTGATCCTCCCTTCATGAATCATCTGAGCGTCGGTCTAGGATGCACCTTTTGGAGGGGGCGGGGGGGGGGGGGGGGTGAAGACACATTTGGGTTAGTCTGAGCACCGACCCCGGCAGACCAATCCCTTTACACCAACCTCTTCACACCACATCCTTCACGCCACATACAGACAGATGAAACTAGATCTTGCTCCCAGACACTGCAAGCACCAAAATCGATAGATTGGAAGCCTGTTGCCAGGCACCAGTACACATTTGAAGGCTGACGGGAGAAGTATTGGCTTCGAGAAGATTTCAATAGACACAAGTTACTGGCCGCAGATGTCTGTTGTGGGTATGCGTAAACGCGGCTGACAGCACCGTTCCCAAACAATTTGTTGTCGCAGTGTTGCTAAACTGTTACAACGTGAAGGAGATAACATCGTTCGATCTGTATCACAGCTGCAATACCATGACGCCCAACATAAATCTGCAAATATATGTCTGAGAGAAACGGGCGCAACGAATAAACCTACGCATTTTATTTTCAAAGGGAATTAGGCAGGCAAACCAGTCTGACAGACAGACAGACGGGTGGATGGTTATATAGATGGATAAACAGGTAGATAGATAGAGGGAGGGGTGGATCGATGGATAGGCGGATTGAGGGAGGCATTGATGGATACTAACGATTTACTGCAGTAGACAACAAACAGCAGACGTAGCCACTAAAGCAAACACACACAAAATAAAAACCGCACAAGCAACAACTACAGCATGAACACCCTGGACAGTTCTGTAGCCACAGTGGTTGACCAGTGCAGGCAGATCTAAGCAATCCCTGGACCTCCAAGACGAGGCGGTGTCGTGACAACAGCTACATGACTCACGTAATTACTCCGGCCACGCGGCGGCTAATTGAAGCTTACCCACGAGATTACTGGTGCTATTTATGTGGGTCTAGTCTGCCTACCCTTGTCCCCTGCCATATATTGGTTTATTTAGAATTACTTGAAAACTTCATTAGGTTAGTCAGTGTGTGAAGCCTTCAATTCCCTTCAGCAGAAGTGTGGACGCTTTTCTTTTGGTACCCTATCGCCTGGATTTCACGGGTAGTTTTCTGTAGAGTAAAAAAAAAAACAAAAAGAAACAGTCGCCCAACGTGGGGCTCGAACCCACGACCCTGAGATTAAGAGTCTCATGCTCTACCGACTGAGCTAGCCAGGCACATGGGGGGAAAGCGGATTATGATTAGTCATACATATGATTTACTCAGTGTTTATTTCACACCGTGACACCCCTAAACTATTGGATTTTTTTTCGGGAACTCGAAATCTCAGCCGACCACAAACGACATCAAGGGACAGTCCAGTATTTTAGAGGGTGGTAAGAACAGGTTTTCTGTGCTTTAGCGAGTTTCTCCCAAGGCCAATGTTTTTGCGCGTTTACCTAACCCTAACTTTAACCCAAACTATATGCTTAATCCACCACCCCCTGAAATGTTTGACTCTCCCATGACCTGTAGATTTTCCATGCTTGTGGTCGGCTACTAAGAAAGTGCCCGATTTTTCTCTCTACATTTTTCTTTTGAAATTGTAAACCATAATTAACCCTGTGTTTTTGAAATATTGGTTGATTTTGTACTATAAATTTCCTCGATTCTTTATTTATTTGCTCATAATGTTCGTCTTTAGTTTAAGAAGGCTGGGAAATTAATGACCAGTCGCATAACTTCCTTCGGTGACACACACTGGATCCAGCGTACAGAGTAACGATGCCAATAATCAAAATATTGAAGCAAAATCCCTGAAACTTACCAAATATAAGTCGTGGTACCAGCAGTACAGTTTTGCTCGGCTAGGGTCAAATAATACCAAATTGTGCAGGCAATAACCAACTTCGGCAGCCTATGAGTTGACAGTGCATCATCGGCATCATCACATTCTTTCGGTTACCCGTATAATCTGTCAGTTTCTCTAACGAAGGGTTTCTGTCTGCTGATATTTGTTTGCAAGCACAAGCACCACTTTTATTCCAAGTGGATGGACTATTGTCATCCCCACAACTAAACCCCGGTTACGCCCTATAGGCCAACCCCTCCCTCCCTCCTTAGACACTCAGTGTACGCTGTTGGCTTCTAATCCGCCCCTTTTTTCGTTTCGTCCCCACCCGCGCGTTGGAGATATATAGGCTGACCGTCATTTCATTGTACGAAGTTTTTTCGCCAGGGACACAGATGAGTATCATTTATTTTATACATTAGAGTCCTATGTAGTCACTTCATAGTTAGAGCATATTTGTGTATATGTACTGTGTTGTCCTTTATGTGCTGATGAAGGCTAACCGCCGCAACGTCCTTTGTTTATTTATTGTGATCGATTTTGTAAAGCTAACATAAACTATTTGTTGTTTCTTACCAACTTTTTCTCTTCCCTTTTCCTACTTCTTTTAAAAACTTATTCTGCCGACATAGCGCTGCCGTTGTATGGTACAGTCGGGCATGTCTAGACCACTCTTACAACCGCTCACCAGTTTTTGTAAAAAGTCATCATCATAAACCACTTCTGCCGTTAAGCGCCGTGGGGAAGAAAAATTTGCGATCCAGTGCACGTTGGCTGCCACTGGCTATTGTCATGCCGTGAAGGCGTAGAGTGTCTTTAATGTTGTCGATCTATTTTTCCGCGGCCGTCCTCTTGCTCTTGTAGCTGATCTTCTGAGATGTAGTGCTTGTGATGGTATTTGATCTTGCTGCATTCTAACGAGATGATCAAACCACTTGATCTGCTGTTTCTCGATGAAACTTCTTTTGTAAAAAGTATAGGACCTTTTCCCGCGCCTTTCAGGCGTATTGGGTATATAGGGCTAGAGTTATATTTTATAGACCAAATGGCACTTGGTGGATGATGTGGTCAACATCGCGCCATCCGCCTTTCTTCCCAGGGAGGTACATGGTACCCACTCAAGGCCGGGTGGACCTGGTAGCCAAGGTAATTTTTGAAAGAAGTCCGGCCACATCAGGACCCGAACTCACGACCTTCTGATCTGCAGGCAGGGGTCTAGCCGCCACACCATGGCGGCTCCCACCAGTTTTTTGTGGTGTAGTATATAACAACAATTGTACAACTGCAAAATGCGTCTGGTGTGCTTCTCATACTTGACTGTGCCGATCTTTACTCCCAATTCTTGTATTTTGCTAAAGATACTGTTTAACAGATTTAAAGCAAAATACTAGCCGAAGAACAGGCCTAACGGAGGGAAGACAGAGATAGAGAGAAGAAGACAGAATACCAGAATACGGCTACCTGGAAGTCTTGGCCAGACGGATGGAGTTAGACAAAAAACATTGAACTGATTCCTGATTCTGGTGATCATGTGAAATTGTGAAACATGACAGCCTTTGCTTGCCAGCATGGCACATGATGATGATGAATGCATTAAAGTTAATGTTTCCTTCTGTTCTTGTTTACTGAATATGCTTAGTCTCTCTATGTTGAACAGTCTCCATTGCTGTTTATTATGAAGCCTAGATATTCAACATTGGTGTCATTTTCAGTTGTGTCATCATTTATTGTTATTCTTGGGTAACAGGAAGTTTTGTCTATGGACATTATTTGGATTTTCTTTAAATTCAAGATTAGGATTTGATTTTCATTGTATTTTTGGGCAGACATGTGTTAGTACCTTTCTCCAACTTTTTGTGCTTACATTGAAATATTTTAACTTTAATTCAGATATGTGTTTTTACATACCTTAAACTAGTTACTTAAAAGTGGTTTGGACTTTATTTTTATGTATCTCTAATTGGTTTTTTTAAAAGTATCTTACAATGTTTGTTTATATATGATTGTTTGTTTGTGGTATCTTGAGCTGTTTGTACATGCTTGCACTGTTTATTTGTTGGTGTCATGAAATTATACCAAACATGACTACCCATCATGCAATGACTGGTCTCAGCAGATTGTGGATGAAACCTCTTATTGATTCAATGGACAAGAAGGCGTTAACCAGCAAGCTGTATGGAGAGCTTCGAGCAAGGCAGTGTAATTAAGACGCCTTAGTCATCCACTGCACCAAGGTCCATTTCCAATCGTCTTGACATTGTCCTGCCATTGGATCAAGATGGACACAGGTGAGAGAATAAGGTCGACGAATTGCACAACTCCTCCTAACTTAAATTCAAGTCCTTGCGCAAGTCACTTTCATCCAGCCATCACTTTATATGAAAGTGGTTTTTATCACTTGTGATGGACAAACATCATCATGAAATATATTGTTATTATTTCAGCAGTATACATGTTTATAACATCTTATATTTTTTCTATCTTGAAGCATCATTTTATGGAGAGAGCTACATCTTTGACCCTCTACAAGCTGCTAGCAACGATACAACCATTTCCTTTGAGTTCCGGACTCACCAGCCACAGGGTCTGCTGTTTTTGGCCGCCGGGGAGACAGATTATGTCATCATAAGGCTGAATGGTGGTGGTGTTGAAACCAGACTCAACCTGGGGTCTGGAGAAGCTGTGGCTTTTTCTGCCCGAGGTGTCCGTCTGGATGACTCGCAGTGGCATTCCGTTGTGGTCAATCACACTGTGGACACTGTCTATCTGGAGGTAGATGGTGCTATACAGTGGCAAGGCGCTACCCCGGGATCATACCATGACCTCAACATTGACTTGGGAATACTTCTGGGTGGCAGCGGAAACCTAAAGAAAACCTTGTATAAAGATACCAAATCTTTTCGAGGTTGCCTGAGAAATGTCTTATACAATGGGAAGAACATCTTAGAGGAAACAAGAGCCTTAGAAAGTTCTCAGTATGCATTTCAGATATCATGGCATTGTGATGCGGAATTTACAGCCTCCTCAGACTCTCCCATTAGTTTTGAACATGAAACATCCTTTGTAGCTTTCCCTCACCTGAGAATCAATGCTGAGTTCAGCACCATCCTCTCATGCCAGCTGAAGACAAGGTCCTCAGACGCTATCATACTCTTCAACTCCGGGTCAGGGGTCACCTGGGAGGATTTTATTGCAGTAGAGTTGGTGGCAGGAAAGCCCAAACTGACCATGAATAAAGGTAGTGGCATCGTTGATGTGGCTTTAGAGTCTGTTGTAAATGATGGTAAATGGCATACGCTGAAAGTAACTGTGTCCGAGAGTGTCGTTATATTAGATATTGATTCTGAGACCAATTTAACGAGGTTTCACCTGGGAACCCAGAATACCTTAAATCTAGGAAACCATCTTTTCATTGGAGGTGTTGGAGTCACTGCTCGATCTTCTGCCATCAAGCTGGGGTTGGCGTCTCTACAAGGGGACAGTGCAGTCAAAGGGTCCATGCTAGGCTGTATACGTAACATCAAGATGAATTCACGTAGTTATGGCTTTCATGACATTCAAATTTCTCGGCTGATTAGAGCTCAGTGTTCATGGGAGTACCCATGTGCTCAAGAGCCATGTATCCCAAGTGCCAAGTGTACAGAGCTAGAAGGTTCTGATTTCAGATGTGACTGCGACCAACATGTTTGTGTCAAAGAGCAGTTCCAGTCACACTCTGGTAATAAAAATAGTGACTTCAGTGGAATCATCTCAGTTGGGCAGATTGAAGTGACAGAAGGTGGCTCTGCTGTCATTGATACTAATGTTATAAAAATCCAGGACGATTTCTTTAGAGATGCCTTGCAAGAGGAAAATGTTATCTTCACCGTGACGAAGCCTGCACAATTTGGGATAATTGAAGTTGGAAACAGAAGAGGAAACCAACATTCATTTACACCTAGGGATCTTTTGAGTGGCAGTGTTTCTTACAGACACTACGGAGGACAGTCCAAGCTTGATAGCCTGACACTGGAGGTGACCATCAGCTCATCAACTTCAGAGGTAGCATCAAAGTTGTCTGACAGGTATAATTTTGTGTTGCCGGTGACTATAGCAGCACAGCCAAAACACAAGCTAGAGGTGGTGCTACAAAGTGGCAATATCTTGTCAATAACTTCTGGTGCCAGAGTCAGGATAACCCCACATGTTGTTGATGTTAGAGCACCTAGTGTTGATCCATCTTTGCTGACTTTTGTTATACTGTACCTTCGCCAGTCCACGAGCATATTTGAACGTTCCAGTGCACCAAGAGTTTCCATCTCAAGTTTTACATTAAAAGAAGTGCAAGATGGCCAAATATGGTTTCAGCACAATGGAGATAAAATGGTCTATACCAAAGTGAATGTCACAGATGGGATGCTGGTAAGTGATGCAGTCGATCTCCGTTTTAAAGAGGACAGTTTGACTATCAACGTTATTAATAACACTGGCTTATCTGTAAGCTATGGCGTGGAAGCCGTCATCACATCTTCAAATCTAAGTTCTGTAACTAATGTTAAGTTAGAAGATTTGGAGCTTCAGTATCACATCACACAGGCACCGGAGCATGGTGCAGTTCAACGCCAGGAACAGGAATCGTTAGAATGGCTGGATATTGAATCATTCACCCAGAGACACATTGACCAGGGTCTGCTGCGCTACAGGCATCTTCCTGGAACCTCAATTTCAAGTTATGACAGCTTTCAGTTTGAAGTGATGTGCAGGGATGTCAAGACGAGCACACATGCATTCAGCATTGTCTTCAAAACAGTGACTCTGACAATAGAGAACAATGACAATTTGATTCTGCTTCAGTCTCCTGTGGGGAAGTTCTCAGAGAAGATGTTGCTGGTTGTGTCCAGCGCTGACAAAATGAATAGGAAAAACATTGTGTACACAGTGCTGAGAGCTCCTCAGAAAGGCTCCCTGTATCTCATCAAGCGAAATGATATCAATGTGAACCTGTTTGACCAGATCCCTGCACTGAAGATCGACAGCTCATTCACCCAGCAGGATGTCAATGATGGCTATGTGTTTTACAAACTGGACAGGCCATCGTTTGACCGAGTCGATGACTTCACTGACCTTCAGGCTTCCTACTTTGGGTTTACAGTTATGGTCAGATCGATGATTCAGTATTTACCTGAGAAAACACCTGTTCGGTTTATTAATAATGGGCTAAAGGATGTTATTGAAGGTGGTTATAGCATCATTTCCAGACAAGAACTCTCTCTAGAAATGGACAATTTTAAGAAGTTTACCTTCTCTGTTGTCAGGCATCCCGCTCATGGGGGCATCAACATTGTAGATCCAAGCTCTCAGGCAGTTCTTCGACATAACGTGACCACTTTTACCATGTCGGAAATCAAGGAAGGAAAGGTGGCATACAAACATGATGACTCTGAAAGCAAGGAAGACTCATTTGCGTTCACTGCTGCTCCCATAATGGATGATTCTGAGGACAGCATCCTAGGAGAGATTCAGGAATACTCTGGCACATTTCATATTAGTATGAAGATGAGAAATGACAATCCCCCAGTGCGAGCCTTTACCAAAGTGTTTCAGATAGCCACAGGTCAGGTCAAACATCTAACAATCAAGGATTTAGCTTTTCAGGACCCAGACATAGACTTTGATGACTCCTTGTTGGTTTACCAGAGACAGCCTATAGCCAATGGAGAAATCCTTAGTGCCACAACAGAGGAACCCGTCTATAATTTCACCCAGGAGGATCTCATTAATGGTGCACTTTTGTTTCAACACAGGGGTGACAGCTATGCTCGAACACCAATTTTAGTCACGGATGGCCAATTTTTCAGTACAAGTTTGTTTGAAATTCAAGCCTCAGCCCCTTTTATTAGAATTCTTAACAATACAGGGGTAGATGTCCAACAGAATAATTATGCAACAATCAGTAATGAGAATCTCAGTATTGAGACAAATCTAGACTTCAAGCCAGAAGATGTGACATTCCGTCTGGCTCAGGAACCAGAGTATGGACACATACGGGCACGGGGGCAGCAGGTGACCCAGTTCAACTACTTGGACCTACAGAACGGTCTGGTCAAGTACTGGCATACTGGTGGGGACGGCCTTGAAGAATCCTTTATTGTGAGCATACAGTTAGGCTCATTGAACACACAAGCTCAGTTTGCCATCAGGGTTATTGCCGATGGTCTCTCAGACCCACCTCAGATTATTCACAATAACATCCTAAAGGTAATAGCTCTACAGTCTGAGGTGATCTCTGAGAATCTACTTCAGGTTTTTCATAAAAGTTATAAACCTCTAGAAATTGAGTACATAATCACACAGCTGCCACTGCATGGTCATCTAGTCATCAAAGGGAGACCAGTCAAAGAGGGCAGTGCTCCAGAGTTTACTCAGCAGGATATCATCAATGGAGATATTGTCTACAGCAGTGATTCATCCGAACATACTTCTGACAAATTTGTCTTTGATGTCGGAACAGACCTGCAAAGTTTGAGACACCTGGAGTTCCTGATAGAGATAATCCCAGTTCCTCGCCAGGTCAGTCAAGTGAGCGTGGGTGTTTTGGAAGGTGGCAGCGTCACACTTACTGATAGAAATCTGCTGCTAAGAGGACGACAGCTGCAGAATAAGAAGTCATTATTCAAGATCCAGTCTCCTCCCGTCCATGGTAAAGTTATTGTTAAGAATGACAAGAAAAACATGCATGTCAGCTCGTTTACCATCGAGGATCTCGTGCAGGGTCAGGTGACCTACTTGCATGATGGCAGTGAAAGCTTGTATGATGAGCTGACTCTGAAAGATGACAACACCGGCCAACGGTACCACATCATCATCAATGTGACCTCCGTCAATGATCAGCCACCATATGTGACTGTCAACACAGGCCTGGATGTCTGGTCTGGATCAGTGAGCCTTCTCACAGGCGAGCACCTCAAAGCTTCAGATCCTGACTCCAGCAGTGAGGAAGTGGAGTTCCGTGTGGCAGCACCAAGCAACGGTCACCTGGCATTCCTCAACAACACATTCAAGCAGATATCAGTGTTTACCCAGTTGGATTTGGACAGTGGACGTGTAGTATTTGTTCACAAAGGTATGTAATGTTTCTCCCCCCAACCACCCTACCCCCACCCACCCACTCGGAACTGTGATGTTTTGACCACTGTGAGATTACTGAATCTCAGTCAACAGGACAAATCCTGGATAGCCTGTTCAGCCTCCAAATGAAAGGTTATAATTTGGGTACGTGTATTGGTGACATCAGCCTGGTGTAACCTGCAGTCACATGTTGGTAAAGTCATATGTGTTGTTCTCAATCACTTGGTATGTGGTAGACTCTTTCTTTTGATACCTTGTCTTTTAATGAGGTTCTTTTACTTAACGTTAAAAACCTGATAACTTCAAGCCAAGCTGCAGCCAGACATTCACACTCTTCAGCAGGGATAATGGCCATCATTGGCCCAAACCCCCTGGTAAGGAATTTTGGTGGCAGCAAGAGATACAGTGTCCAGAAGCCTTGATAGACACTGTTGCTTCTCTTTCTTTTCCTTTTCACTTTGTTGTATTATCATTTTTTTATCACCTGCCAGCCCTAAGCCTTGGCTTTTGTATCGGCATCAAGACAAGATTTTGTTTTAAACAAACATTGATCTTAGCTCCCAGGTCGACCCAGTTTAAAATGTGTACCAGATAATGATTTGGGAAGTAAAGGCGACCAACGTGATGTTGACAACATCACCAACCGAGTGCCCATGAGTGTGTAAAATATGTCTTGCAGTCTGCAAAACATGTCTAGCATGCCAGATATGCCCCTGGTGTGATAACAGGTTTTGCTTTAAAAAAAAAATACATATATCCTTTTTTATTATAGAAGAACAATCTTGTATAAATGTGTTTATTAATCCTTGTATAAAAAAGGTTTTTTTTATCATACCATAAAAATAAAATAAAGAAAAGAGAGGTCAGTGTTATAAATCAGTGAAGTTTCTGCGAATTCATCACTGATGGACCGTTCTTTGTACCTAGAGTGTATTTAAGAGCTCAAACTAAGGATACAGTTTTGAGTGGGTGGTCTCATGTTTATGGGCTCAAATATGTTCTAGTATGCCACAGGGTGGCCAACAAAGTAATGGGAAATTCATGGAGCTAAGATCAGTTTTGAAAATAGTTTGCAGATTTGAACCCAAGACCTTTGGGCCCTCAGGTGAAGATCTAGCCCTTACACCACAGTGGCTCCCAGTGAAGATGTCTTTAAAAAAAAAAAAAAATTGTAGTGAATGTTTGTGATCATGACATCAGTAGCAAAAAACTGAAGTACATTTTGAAAATGGTAAAGTTGGATGGGAAAAGGCAGAGGGAGACCACGAGAAAAGATAGTGGAGAGTTTGGCACCTTCCTCTTAGCTTTTAACAGCTGTAAACTCTGGCGGAAAGTTGTGGTTGTTTGTCCACCTCCCGGTCTTGTTCCAAAACTTGAGTTTTACATGTGCATTCATTTTACAGATCTGGTTTTTTTTTTTTTTTAGTCTGTTGGTTTCTTGCTTTTTAGGCAGATGCACTTTGAAGTAAACACCTCTGATTCTTGTTCTTCTACTGCCTTTCTATCCATCAGTGGGAACAGAGGCCCTCAACCAACTCACGCCAAGTTGTTCTATCCTTCGCCATTACATGGAGCTCTCCCCATGTCCTCCCCATCATTCTAACTTCATTCTCCAGCTCTCTTCTCCATGTGTTTTTTGGCCTTTCTTTATTCCTATGCCCCTGTGGGTTCCAATGCAAAGACATTCTAGTTATGCTGTTTTCCTGTTTTCACAGTGTGTGTCCTATCCAACGCCAGCGTCTTTTCCTCACCTCTTGGTCCACTGGAGCCTGTTTAGTTCTCTCCCAAAGCTCTACATTAGTTATTCCAACATACCATTTAATTCCCTTTATTCTGCGCAGGCACCAGTTAGTGAATGAATATAATTTATTAGTAATTGCCTTAGTTGTTCTCCATGTTTCCACCCCACAGCAAAGTACTGATTTGACATTAGAATTAAAAATTTTCAGTTTAGTATTTCTTTTGACCTCAACAAATTCCTAAAAACACCTCTGATTAGTCTCCTTTTACAACATGCTTGTTCCTGAGGGTGGGGGGGGGGGGGGGGGGGGGGGGGGGGGGGGAGTGGGTCTATTCTTTGTTCTCCTCCACAAAATGCAGCCATTGTTTAAATTCAAGTCCTACCCTGGAAGTTTTCAAATGACCAGCATGTCTTCCTATTTACGTAACAAAATGTTACTAAATTGTGTATTTTGATTCCTTTTGCAGACGTCAGGGTGAACAGCGGGGGGGTTGTAATATTTTGAAAGAGAATACACATTATCAGCCATGGGCTAGTGTCCAGCAAGTGAATGTTCTAGAAGAATTTATCCTATACAGAACCATTTTTTCACTACACTAACACATCAGGTATATGATTCTAGACTTTTATTTTTATAGACCAGTCGGCATTCCGTGGGGGATATGATCAACATCATACTGGCTGCCTTTATTTCCTAGGACTTTACCTGTATCCACTTCAGGCTGGGTCGACCTGTGAGCTAAGGTAATTTTTGAAAGAAAAAAAATATGACTTGAGGCTGATTCAGACCCACAGCTTTTGGCCTAGCTGCTGTGCCACCATGGCTTCCATGGAAGAATATGGCTCCTTTTTACTGATTATCTTATCCAGTTTTGAGAACATTCCTTCTTTGTTCATTTATAGCACTGATTTATAGAAAGTTTTTAATGGAGTTTAAAATCTTCATCATAGAAATAATCAAGTTATTTTATGCTTCACAGGAGATGAACAAGGAGAGTTCAGGTTTCAGGCAACAGACGGCGCCAATAAAGACGAGTTTCGTGTGTTTAGGATCAGAGCTCGGCCAGTACAAATCACGGTACCAGTCAACAATACTCTCAAAGCCTTTCCCAATACCCTACAACCGATTAACAATGCTACACTAATGGCGGTGACCTCTGCTGCTAACTATAGCCACCCGGTTGTGTTTTCGGTGGTAGAACCAAAACCGCAGAAAGGTCGATTGGTGACTCTTATTGATAAACGGGTTGTGGATTTGAACTCATTTACTCAGGATGAAATCAATGAAGGTAAAGTGTTTTTCCAGCATGATGGTACCCTACGGAATTGGAGAGAAACAGAAACAATTTACTTTGAAATAACTGCCACCTATGGCCAAGCTGTGACAGGTCGTGCCCTTATTATTGATATTTCTTTTGCAAATTTAAATGAAGGAAACTACCGGAAACTTTTTAATATGAACTTCATTTCCGTAGAAGAGGGAAAGAAGGTGACTATCACAAGATCGCATTTTGATTCGACTGAATTGGTTCAGAAAATTCGTAAGTTCGAACCTAATGTCAACATTGTGTTCTCATTTGTGTCATCCGTCAGGCACGGCTACCTGTGGTTTAAAGATCGAGACCTAGAGATCGATGAGGAGTTTACACAGGATGATATCAATACTGGAGCACTCGTCTACAAACATGACCATTCTGACAGTCGCCAGGATTGGTTTCAATTTGCTGTAAAACTGTTAATACCTCGAACTCATTTAGAAGCCAGTAACTCTGTTGCTAAAATTCTCAACTTCTCAATCGCTGTTGAACCTGTCAATGACCAAGGATTCGAACTGGTGACTCGTCACCCCAGAATTAAGGTCAAGCAAGGGTCGGAGATCAAGGTGACTGCTCATAATTTAACTACAGTTGACCTGGATACTGGACCTGAAGGAGTCGAGTACAAGATTGTGACACAGCCTGCAAATGGCATGTTGGTGAGACTGCCGTATGATCGAACCAGGTTGCAGACATTTACTCAGAAGGATATCAATGATGGCCTCATTGTTTTTAAACATGATGGGACTAGGGCAACCAGTGGTTCCCTCCATTTCCAAGTGTGGGATGGCAAGTTTGAGCCGTGGCGTGCTACCCTGGAGATCACAGTGATTCCTCTCATGATAGAAGTGGCCCAGGACAGGCATGTGCCTTTGCTTCAGGGCCAGAACTACATAGCACTGTCTAACCAGCACCTGAAAATCTCCACAAATGGAGACCTGAATGCACTAAAGTACACAGTGACCCAAGCTCCACAGTTTGGAAAGTTGATGAAGTACAGCAGTGTGGTAACTCATTTCACGCAGGCAGACATCAACGGTGGGCAGCTGTTGTACACACAGGATGAGGATTCTCCTGGCGATGACTTCTTTGTGTGTGACATTGATCACACCAGTTTGGATTGCTCCTTGAAAACTGTTCAGTTTGACGTGATCATGAAGCCCAGGGTTAAGCAACGTCCACTGATAACAGCTCCCGGTACTCATGTGGCTATTACCAGGTCCAGTTTGGATGCCAGCGAACTGGCACAGATCACCAACGACAATCCTCAGTTTACTGTCCTGACAGCTCCACTGCATGGCCGGATCATGAGACGACATCGCCAGCGCCGACAAACTACCCTGGAAAACACTTTCCAGCCGGTGTCCAACTTCACATTTGAAGACATTGTTTACACCAAAATCTACTATGTGCCAAATCCAGACAGGCACAATAGCGGGGATAAATTTATTTACCTTCTAGAGGCTAGAGGTGTCCCACCGGCCAGAGGCGAATTTCTAATCCAGCTGGATACACAGGATAATAATCCAGGTGGGGAGAATGGGCAGATTGGCCAAACAGATTCGGACAAGACTGATGGAACTTCTTCTAATCCAGATGGAAATATGCCAGATAATAAGAGCGGAGAACTGGATGATGATCTTGTTGCATCTTCTGTAGATTCAAGCCCAGATGATAATAATAACAATGTGGTCATAGCAGTAGTGTTGTCGTTAGTTTTTGTTGTCATTATCCTAGTAGTGATAGTTATTCTGTTTATCCGCTGGAGGAGGCGTAACCAGGCAGCCGTGCGGGAAACAAAACCAAACAAACCGAGACCATATATCAGCGGGCCTTTACAGCTAGAGCAGCCACATGTCCAGATTGAAGCAAAACATGAAGCGCTGGGATCTCCATGCAGTGCAGACAATGTTGTCCTTGTATCCAGATACATGGAAGAAGATCAGTGTGCAAATGCAACCAACGCAGAAGTGGATTCCTTGCGTCGTGTAAACCTCAGATGCTCTTCTCCGTCACCAGATGTAACAAAGCTGGATTATAGTCAAACATTTCAAGACAGTAGAGCTGCAATAGATTCCCAATCTGACCAGATTTCTGAAGACATGGAGCGCCGGTCAACGATGACCAGCGGCCGAGGATCAGATGCAAGTGCCGACCTTTTAGACTGGACTCTGATGGACCCAGACATTCTGCAGCAGTGTAGGATTACCACGCCCGTGCTCCGTAACAACCAATACTGGCTTTAGTCATCGCCACTTTTCTGTGCTTTTGTCTAAACACAACAAAGAAATAAGGTGCTGCTTTGCATAGCCAGTGCTTTTCCTCACTCAACATTACAAATACACCAGTATGTGCTACAAAAAAAATGACTCCACCAAAAGAAAGAGCACTGGTCTAAAAGAATCTCTACAGAATATTTACTTATTGTTTTATCAAGATCTGTGCAATATTTCTTTACAGACTGAACAATACACAGTCATTCAGACTGAACAACACATAATCATTCAGACTAAACAACACACATTTATTCAGACTGAACAAGACACATCATTCAGACTTAACAACACACAATCATGTTGACTTGTTTCTGTACGCCTGGACAGTGATGTATAGCCTGGTATTCTTGTAGTAGTGGTCATTAAGACATTGTTAAGTCTACTTATAGTTATAGACATAAAGACAGTTTTAAGTCTACTTGTAGCTATAGACATCAAGACATTGTTAAGTCTACTTGTAGCTATAGACATCAAGACATTGTTAAGTCTACTTGTAGTTATAGACATCAAGACATTGTTAAGTCTACTTGTAGCTATAGACATCAAGTCAGTGTTAAGTCTACTTGTAGCTATAGACATCAAGACAGTGTTAAGTCTACTTGTAGCTATAGACATCAAGACATTGTTAAGTCTACTTGTAGCTATAGACATCAAGACAGTGTTACAGTCTACAAGACATCAAGACATAGTTAAGTCTACTTGTATCTATAGACATCAAGTCAGTGTTAAGTCTACTTGTAGCTATAGACATCAAGACATTGTTAAGTCTACTAGTAGTTATAGACATCAAGACAGTGTTAAGTCTACTTGTAGTTATAGACATAAAGACAGTTTTAAGTCTACTTGTAGTTATAGACATCAAGACAGTGTTAAGTCTACTTGTAGTTGTAGACATCAAGACAGTGTTAAGTCTACTTGTAGTTGTAGACATCAAGACAGTGTTAAGTCTACTTGTAGTTGTAGACATCAAGACAGTGTTAAGTCTTCTTGTAGTTGTAGACATCAAGACAGTGTTAAGTCTACTTGACATAGTGTTAAGTATAGTTATAGACATCAAGACATTGTTAAGTCTACTTGTAGTTATAGACATCAAGACATTGTTAAGTCTACTTGTAGTTATAGACATCAAGACATTGTTAAGTCTACTTGTAGTTATAGACATAAAGACAGTTTTAAGTCTACTTGTAGCTATAGACATCAAGACAGTGTTAAGTCTACTTGTAGTTATAGACATCAAGACAGTGTTAAGTCTACTTGTAGTTATAGACATCAAGACATTGTTAAGTCTACTTGTAGTTATAGACATCAAGACAGTGTTAAGTCTACTTTTAGTTATAGACATCAAGACATTGTTAAGTCTACTAGTAGTTGTAGACATCAAGACAGTGTTAAGTCTACTTGTAGTTATAGACATCAAGACAGTGTTAAGTTTACTTGTTAAGTCAAGACTTAAGTACTTGTTATAGACATCAAGACATTGTTAAGTCTACTTGTAGTTATAGACATCAAGACAGTGTTAAGTTAAGTTATAGACATACAGTTGTTAAGTCTACTTGTAGTTATAGACATCAAGACATTGTTAAGTCTACTAGTAGTTGTAGACATCAAGACAGTGTTAAGTCTACTTGTAGCTATAGACATCAAGACAGTGTTAAGCCTACTTGTAGTTATAGACATCAAGACATTGTTAAGTCTACTTGTAGTTATAGACATCAAGACATTGTTAAGTCTACTTGTAGTTATAGACATCAAGACAGTGTTAAGTCTACTTGTAGTTATAGACATCAAGACATTGTTAAGTCTACTTGTAGTTATAGACATCAAGACATAGTTAAGTCTACTTGTATCTATAGACATCAAGTCAGTGTTAAGTCTACTTGTAGCTATAGACATCAAAACAGTGTTAAGTCTACTTGTAGTTATAGACATCAAGACAGTGTTAAGTCTACTTGTAGTTATAGACATCAAGACATTGTTAAGTCTACTTGTAGTTATAGACATCAAGACAGTATTTAAACTCCGCAAACTGGCAAAACAGGTTAAATTCCACGATCATTGTAATAGTATAATAAAAGAAGTGGGAATATAAAATCTTACATTAGATATTGCCGTAGAGTGTTTAGCTGTTGATGGTTTCATATATGAGTTTATTATGAAATCTAGTGATCAGTTTCCTTCCTCCATGCGTTTTCACTCTCAGAATCGATGTTCAGGTGCCGTATATGGAGGCTGTTTTTGTCACTGATTCCCTGATATGGTTGTCAGTCTGTGACAGAGGTGAACACCTTAAGCGATCACTGTATGTGTAGTTATCATAGTATTAGCACATATGGTGGATTCGGTTTAATTGACTTGCACACATGGTTACAGACGTAGTAGTGGTAACACACACGGAGGAGAGAATGTAGTAGTGGTAACACACACGGAGGAATGGGTGTAGTTAACACACGGAGGAGTGAGTAGTAGTCTTATTATACATAGAGAATTGGGTGTGGTAGTGTTTGTGCACACAGAGTTCAAAATTATGTCCTGGTAACACTAAAAGAGAATAGGTCATAACCCCATTAGAATTCTACCAAAAAATCTATAAGAACAAAAATGCTTACACAGGTCACCATTAAATTAGTTCAAAATATATTTATTTAAATATTATTTTCCTAAATTTATGTACGAAAGAAATAATAATTAAATTCAAACTAGGTGAAGCATTAAATGGAATACATTCCTTAGGCTTCAGCAACACAAGTTTCAGGTGACTCTTTCTGTGACCCTGTGACCTCTATCACTGAGGTTTACAAGAAAATCTGACATCAGCTACCCTAAATGCTGTTGTTAATTAACTCCCTCAGTCCTAGGGGTTCACCATCAGAGGTCCAAGGGGTAGTAAAGAGAGATGTAAACTAAGTGCATTCTGCCTTAATGGGGCTTCTAGGTAGGAACCTATGAAAGCATGATGTGTTCCATGGGACTGAAAGAGTTAATGTAGCCATATCTTGGTCTCCAAAACATTTGCGCAGGTGAGTACGCAGCCAATAGTATTATTAACTATGTTTCTTAAAACAAGTCACTGTAGAGAAGTCATAAAAGTGACATTTATAAGGAGTTGGACCCAGCCTGAAGTGCAGTTTTTTTTTTCTCAGGGTGAAAGGGTTAACAGTGTTAAGACATCTAGAGGAGTGGATGTAGTAGCATGATAGTCCACAAGGAGCAGATTGTAGTGTAATAGACTTTAATGTATTTTATATTATGAACATGTTTTTTATTGGTCATTTGGTTGGTGTAACTTCACAGACAGCTAATCCCCCACTTCTGGTCAGCCCTGTCTACTAAGTTTCTGTCACTGTCAGCCCTGAATACTGATTTTCTGTCTGGTCTTATAATTAGGCAACAGATCGTGTTGCAAATATGTCTGAAAATGCTAAAAACTGAAGTAAAGAAAATTACTAAATGATTATAAATTAATGTCAATAAAAGTATGATGTGTCTGAGGTCAAGGCAGCCAGAAGAGCAAGGACCAAACCTAATGTCTCCCTGCACACCTGCACCAGTGGAAGTGGAAGAAAAACATTTCAATAAAAATGGCAGCTGTGATGCTTGCTTGATGGCCATGTGTTTGAATCAGATTTCAAGGGAATCTTTACTTATATAGTGGGCTCCCAAATTGACCCTACCTACAGTATATTCAAAGACATTTCTTTGGAAATATAGGAGGCCATCTTCTGATTTTGAGGTTTTTTGGCCATGTTAAACATGACCTATAAGCATACAGTATGTTACATCTAAGGTCTGTAAGTGTACACTGTGTTACATCTAAGGTCTGTAAGTTTACAGTGTTACATCCAAGGTCTGTAAGTGTACACTGTGTTACATCTAAGGTCTGTAAGCGTACACTGTGTTACATCTAAGGTCTGTAAGTGTACACTGTGTTACATCTAAGGTCTAAGTGTACACTGTTACATCTAAAGGTCTGTAAGTGTACACTGTGTTACATCTAAGGTCTAAGTGTACACTGTTACATCTAAGGTCTGTAAGTGTACACTGTGTTACATCAAAGGTCTGTAAGTTTACACTGTTACATCTAAGGTCTGTAAGTGTACACTGTGTTACATCTAAGGTCTGTAAGTGTACACTGTGTTACATCTAAGATAAGTGTAAGTGTTACACTGTGTTACATATACATCTAAAGTCTGTAAGTGTACACTGTGTTACATCTAAGGTCTGTAAGTGTACACTGTGTTACATCTAAAGTCTGTAAGTGTACACTGTGTTACATCTAAGGTCTGTAAGTGTACACTGTGTTACATCTAAAGTCTGTAAGTGTACACTGTGTTACATCTAAAGTCTGTAAGTGTACACTGTGTTACATCTAAGGTCTGTAAGTGTACAATATGTTACATCTAAAGTCTGTAAGTGTACAATATGTTACATCTAAAGTCTGTAAGTGTACACTGTGTTACATCTATGATCTGTAAGTGTACACTGTGTTACATCTAAGGTCTGTAAGCGTACACTATGTTACATCTAAGGTCTGTAAGCGTACACTGTGTTACATCTAAGGTCTGTAAGTGTACACTGTGTTACAACTAAGGTCTGTAAGCGTACACGGTGTTACATCTAAGGTCTGTAAGTGTACACTGTGTTACATCTAAGGTCTGTAAGTGTACACTGTGTTACATCAAAGGTCTGTAAGCGTACACTGTGTTACATCTAAGGTCTGTAAGCGTACACTGTGTTACATCTAAGGTCTGTAAGTGTACACTGTGTTACAACTAAGGTCTGTAAGTGTACACTGTGTTACATCTAAGGTCTGTAAGTGTACACTGTGTTACATCTAAAGTCTGTAAGTATACACTGTGTTACATTTAAGGTCTGTAAGTGTACACTGTTTTACATCTAAAGTCTGTAAGTTTACACTGTTACATCTAAGATCTGTAATCAAATGTTTTCTTTCATCTAAACATTGACTTTAT